CAAAGCCCCTGAAGGTAGGAACCCCAGCATCTACACACTGCCTGGAACACTTTGTTAGAGCTCAGTCCATGACGTGTGTGAAGGAATATGCACAATTAAATGATCACATTCCATATTTTCATTCTCTACAGTTTGTAATCAAAGCAAAGTGGGACCTGCTTTACATGTGTTTTGGGAGTGTTCTTGTTACCTCAGCTTTTTTGGATTTAAACTGCATTGTGTTCCGTGAGGTGACAAAGACCTCAATTCAGCCATCACTTGCATTGATCCTGCTGAATGATGATTCAAAGCTCCATTTTGTCTTGATTTTTGTCTTCTCATTAACACTTTTTTAGCTGCTCTCAGTGTTGCAGACCAAACTATATTGCCTCAGTTTACTTGTGATTTCCCACTTATTTGCACCTGGTTCTCTTTCTTACACCTGGATATCCAGTACATAGCTATCTTGGGGTGGTTGTACAGCCAAGTGACTAGGAACTAACTGTAAAATATTACTTTGGCCATTGTCTGGAATGAACGATTGTGAGGGACCTGCTGTATCTTACTTAGGATTGACAAAAAAAAACACTGTTCTAGTGGTGTAATTTCATCCTGTAAATCTATGCCCCCCAAATTTGTACATAATTTGCTGGTGTGTAAAACCTAAATATGGACGTGATACACAATCGAGGGGAGAAAAGCAATAAACAGTAACAAACCAACCAAGGTATGGATAATGTCCCTTTCTGGTCTTTCCCTCTCCTGTCTTATCCTCAGACTGGGAGTTCAGCCAGGGATTCATCAGTGCCGACATGATCCAGGAGCACCTACCTCCCCCTGCTGATGACAGCCTGGTTCTCATATGCGGCCCACCTCCCATGGTCCAGTTTGCCTGTAACCCCAACCTAGATAAGCTGGGGTACTGGCAGAGTCAGCGCTTCGTCTACTAGACGGAGGACCGCAACGCCACGACACACCAAGGCCATCCCCTGAATTAGACCCCAAAAATTGCCGTCCTGATTACCCACCAGTGCCAAGGCTACACACTCATATTCCTCAGACCTTCTCTTGTGGGAAGTCCCTCTAAAGTGTGGAAAGTGTTTATTCAGAATATCAGTAATACAGATGAAATGTACACACATCCCATATTCTCAGGTGCTGGACAGAAACCAGTATCAGAATCTTACCTGGACATCATCTCTAAATTCTGACCTGATTGCACAGGACTAGTGTGTCGCTAATACAAGAGAGTGCCTCAACTCTGAAATATATATACATACATATACAACAGCTTATGATATGCATTTAAAAAATAATGGCTACCAATGGAAACATAGCAACTCTCTGTATCTAGCTTCTACTGCTTTGGCTGATAAAAAATGTGCCTTTGATGCTCCTCATGTATCTGTTGTAGGATCACTTTCTGATTGAATGTCCCTCTGTTTATTTGTATTGAAGGGGAGGGGGGGGGCTATTTAAATTGCATCAACAATGCCTCACTTGGTGCTTTATACAGCAAAAGGAAGCTTCAAGACTACTTTATGCTGACATGTAACTATTTTGGTGATGCACACAAGCTTATGCAATACTAATGCTGAGGGAAAAACAAATAAAATGTTTCACTGAAACTACCCTTAAAACAGTTTCTTAATGTTGGTTAATTTAGTGGACTTTTCTTTTATGGTCTTCATTATAACTGTAGCTGAAGGTGGGCAGACCAGGAACACGTTGGGATGTAGTTGATTTCCCTTAAATTCTTGCACTGTTAATACCATACCCCCATGTGTCAATGATATGGAGTTATGATCTACATGCTTGTTAAAAGGTTTTTAATGTTCAACAAATTTTCTGTCAAAGGCGTATTCGTTGAGGAAACAAATGAGTCATCTGAGGTCAGTTGTTTAAAACCCTTTTAAAATGAGTATCAAATGTTGGTCACCTAACATACTAGGGTATTAATGGAGCCAGTTTTGAGTCAGGGAAAAGGCAAAGACTGCTAATGCCCACTTCTCAAAAGGAATTACAAGGGTTTGGAATGATGCTCATCAGTGATTGCGGCTCTCCACAATCTTATCTCACAGTAGGTAAGTGTCTCCTATTTTGAGAACATTGGTGTAAATTGCTGAAACATTTAAAAGTTGTAAGATTATGACATCCATTTTAACTATGGAAATAATCTGAAAAAATTGGCATTTTCTAAAGAATGTTAAACACACCCAAAATAGTGAGGGAGCAAGTGAAATCCTCCGTGTTGACCCTGTCCATTGGGGTTTCCCCGCGCAGGTTCGAATCCTGCCGACTACGAAGTCAGCTTTTGCCAGTGTCCCCTCGGCCCCCGAAAACCCCCCCAGAAGGTACGTAAGCTACAGTTCCCCCTTTCACCATGCGGTCTGCAGCTTTCGTATCCCCACCACCCAGCTAACGTGACCGTTGATGGCTCCTTTCAACGCAAGGTACCTTTCAATTGGTCGGAGAGAAAAAGGTTACCCAGCTCTGTACATGTGGTAGAAAAGGAAGCCAG